CTTATCAAACTCAACACCCAAAGAACAAAATAATCCAATCGAGCAATGCGCAGAAGACATGAACAGACATTTCTGCAAAGAAGACATCCAAATGACCAACAGACACATGAAAAAGTGCTCAACATCACTTGGCATCAGGGAACTACAAATCAAAACCTCAATGAGATACCACCTCACACCAGTCAGAATGGCTAAAATTAACAAGTCAGGAAACGACAGATGTTGGCGAGGATGGGGAGAAAGGGGAACCCTCCTACACTATTGGTGGGAATGCAAGCTGATGTAGCCACTCTGGAAAACAGTATGGAGGTTCCTCAGAAAGTTGAAAATTGCGCTACCCTACGACCCAGCAACTAGACTACTAGGGATTTACCCCAAAGATACAAATGTAGGATCTGAAGGGGCACGTGCACCCCAATGTTTACAGCACCAACGTCCACAATAGCCAAACTATGGAAAGAGCCGAGGAGCCCTTCAATAGACAAATGGATAAAGAAGATGTGGCATATATACACAATGGAATATTATGCAGCCATAGAAAAAACGAAATCTTGCCATTTGCAATGATGTGGATGGAACTAGAAGGTATTAAGCTAAGTGAAATAAGTCAATCAAAGAAAGACAATTTTCATATGTTCTCAGTGATATGAAGAATTTGAGAAACAAGACAGAGGATCATAGGGGAAGGGAGGGAAAAATGAAACAAGATGAAACTAGAGAGGGAGACAAACCATAAGAGACTCTTAATCTCAGGAAACAAACTGATGGTTGCTGGAGTGGAGGGGGGTAGGAGGGATGGGGTGATTGGGTGATGGACACTGGGGAGGGTATTTGCTACGGTGAGCGCTGTGAATTGTGTAAGACTGTTTAATCACAGACCTATACCTCTGAAACAAATAATACATTATATGTTAATAAAAAATATTTTTTAAAAAGATACTAAAATGTCTTTTTCTGAATATTTCAAGTAATAAAATAGAAAAATATCTTTCTGGGAAGTACAATTCCCCGTGGAGGTAATAGATTAGATGACCTCATAAAGTCATTCTTTGGTCCTAAACAACATTTGTACTCTTAAGAAATTCTAGATCTAACTATTATACCTAAAAAGGGATAAATTATGAAAACTCTAAAGCATTCCTATTTTTTTCACTCACCTGTATTTTTTAGCCAGATCATCCCTTTCTGCTTTCTGTTTGGCAAGCACATTATCCATAATCTCTTTTATCTCTAACATCTTTTCAATGTATTGTTCTGGAAACACGGTAATAAAAAAAAAAGTCAGTTAAATGCGAGATAGTAAACGTTAAATTTGATCACACAGGACTCAGCCTTACTGTTACTCTTAAAAAGCCATTACTTCCCTATCCTGCTCCCTAATATCAGTGGCCCAGATATATAAATCAAGGCTTACTGAACTATGCCACCCTATGAAAGTACCCTGAATACAGCAGGCCAGCCTGAGTTCTAATCCTGCTACTCCACTAAGCTTTGCGAGCTTGGACATGTCAAATGACCTCTATGGTCACCTTCCTTATCTGTGAGAAGAGGTTAGTAAAGAAAGATAAATAGGAAAATAAATATTTTGTTAAAATTACTTTTTAAAATATAAAAGGAATACATTGTAAAAAAATTTTTCAAACAACATGAATGTTAACACAGAAGAAAAATAACCCCCTGCTTCTCCTCTTCTTTCACTCCACAAAAGAGACTACCATTAATACTTTGGTAGCAGTGTGTTTATTTGTGTGTGTAAAAGTTTTTAATATATTTAATGTATTATTCTATATATTTATATTATATGTAACTATATATTATATGTACTTAAAAATAAGAAGGATGCTATCAGTTTTTGTTCTCTACACTTAACACTTAGATAGGACTATATGATATCTAGGTTACTTAAAGATGTAGTATATAAAATTACTTTTACAATAATTACTTAAAATTTTCTTACTTTCTTCCACTACTTCCTAATTAAAGGCATCATGACCTCCCTCACCCATCACAAATCCACAAGATTTACACATAAATGTCAATTATGTCCAAATTCAGATTCCCAAGCAGCAAATGGAAAGGCTTAGATGAATACATTTTATCTCTTTTAAGTTACTTGTTATTTATTTCAGCTTTGGCTTTGTTTCTTAATTTTTTTCCTAATTTTTTTAGACCAATGCATATTTTTCTAGATAATTTAACTAGAGAAAATCAGTGGTGGGAAATGAAATCAAGTTCAGAGTAGGAATTTGTTCCCTTTGCAAATCAGACAAATAATTTGATCAGTATAGAGTCAGTGTTCCCAGAGTAGTTTCTGTCTTGTTAATACTATGACTGAGGATTAATTTCATATGATGCATGTGCCAAAAAAGGGGGGAAATATAGATGATCACGAAAAATTTAGATATAAATTTGTTTGGCAGATTTGACATTATTTAATAAAAGATGTTCACACTATGTACCCTGTCACATTGGGTTTTTCTTTTTTTTTTTTTTCAAGATTTTATTCATTTATTTGAGAGAGAGAGAGAGAGAGCACAAGCAGGGGGAGGGGCAGAGGGAGAGGGAGTAGCAGACTCCCTGCTGAGTAGGGAGCCCTATGCGGGACTCAATTTCAGGACCCTGGGATCATGACCTGAGCTGAAGGCAGACACTTAACCAACTGAGCCACCCAGGCACCCACATTGGGTTTTTCTAACTGAAATTTAAATCACAGGTAAAAATAACATTATCACAGTAACCTAGAAGATTCTATATGTTTCTATAAAAAAAGATATAAAGAATTTTACATTAGGGACACCTGGGTGGCTCAGTCAGTTAAGCATCTGCCTTTGGCTCAAGTCATGATCCCAGGATCCTGGGATCAAGTCCTACATCGGGCTTCTTGCTCAGCAGGGAGCCTGCTTTTCCCTCTGCTTGTGCGCTCTCTCTCTCTCTCAAATAAATAAATAAAATCTTCAAAAAAAAAAATTCTACATTAACTTGATACTATATACTTATTTACCAGATACATTAATCATTGATATCTTAGAGAAAACTTAGAAATTGCCCTAATATGTGTAAGATTTTAATATATGGTAATAAGGCATTAGAAAAACAAGGATGACAGAAATTATTCAACAAATAAGAGGAAGCAAATAGAGTAGTATTATGGGGGTGGGAGACTCTATTCTATCCTTATCTTGTGCCACGTGTGGAAGAGATTTCAAATGAATAAAAGAGTTAAAACACTTAATAAAAAATAACATACAAAACGTTCAAAGTAAACATTTTTCTGGTCTGTTTGGTTGAGGCATTAAAGATATCTGATATCCAAGTGAATGCAAGACATCTATAAGAAAAACTTACAAAGAAATGTACACAATGGGATTCATTATTCTTGGATCCCTCAGCCAGATCAAAGATATAGAAGGTGTCAGAATACGGAGGTGGTGGGGGCGCCTGGGTGGCTCAGTTGGTTAAGCGACTGCCTTCGGCTCGGGTCATGATCCTGGAGTCCTGGGATCGAGTCCCACATCGGGCTCTCTGCTCAGCAGGGAGTCTGCTCCTCCCTCTGACCCTCCCCCCTCTCCTGCTCTCTCTATCTCAGTCTCTCTCTCAAATAAATAAATAAAAAAAATCTTTAAAAAAAAAAAAAAGAATACGGAGGTGGTGAATTTGTAAAGATACTTCAGAGAGCTATTGCTCAACTGGATGGGAATTTCTAATACGAGTAGCCAAAGTGAGAGGCGAGGTTTCTCTCCCAGCCTAATGGGGGCGGAGGCGGGGAGTCTCTCAAGAAGAGAGTAGTAACTTTGTTTTGAGGTGATGATGGACTCACACCTGGCTTCCTCCTTCAACATCTAGAGGTTGAGACCCTACAGAGAAGGACGTTTGGACAGCTGGGGAAAGGGAAAGTTGCTGCTAGAAATTAACTGTCCTCCCTTCTAACCACAGGTCCAGAATGCCAGGATCCTGATGACTTGGTGTGGAGCCTGCCCTGTGGTCCTATGATGGCTTCTCCCTCAGAGAAAGAGCCTGTATAGGGTGGGACACCAAAAAAAAAAAAAAAGAAGAAGAAAGAAGGAAGAAAGGAGGAAGGAAGGAGGGAGGGAGTAAGGAGGAGGGTAGAAGGAGGAGGAGGAGACTGAGAGGAGCCAGGGAAAGGAAAATGCGCTGTCCTGCCACACAGAAGCCAGGTAGAAGCTTCAGAAGAGCCTCAGAAAACTGCTCTGAATAGACTAAGTTGTAGACATTTGCCAAGGATTGATGGAGTCAATGCAGTCAGTATTTAGTTACTAGCCAAGAACTCTAGAGTCCCATTGCCTTCCTCTCCTCCCTTAAAGGGGCAGTGAGACGAAAATAAAGGGATCCTGACTAAAAAGAATTAAGTTATGAAGCATAGGGATGGGGAGGGGAGAAAAGTTTCTAATCTTAAAAGCATTAAAAGAAATAGCAAAGGAAAGGCTGATACATTTTACTCTACAGAATTTGAAAATGTATGTACTTAAGCATAAATTAACACGTTACACATAAAAAGAGTTAAGTAGCTGAAAAACATATTTACAGCAGTTAAGGCAGAAAAGGGGTCAATAACTTGATTACATAAAATGGCTATTTATTAATAGACAAACAGGAATAGTCAATTCACAAAGCAGGAAATAAAACTAGAGAAAAATACCACTAATAATCAATAAGGCAAGTGAAAATATGAGGCATTAGGCATTCTCGTTATTAAACTACTAAAATTAATTTAAATGAAAATACTGAAGCTGTTAGCAGTGTAAAGGAAAATAAACACTAATGTGTGTCAGTGAAAGTGCAAATTAAATTAGTATCTAATACTTTATGAAACAATTTATCAATACAAATCAATAGATTTAAAAATGTTTATATATTTTTGACCCAGTAGTTCCAATTCTGTTAATATTTCTTTTTTTTTTTTTAAGATTTTATTTATTTGACAGAGAGAGAGAGAGAGAGCACACAAGCAGGGGGAGCAGCAGGCAGAGGGTGAGGGGGAAGCAGGCTCCCCGCCGAGCAGCGAGCCCTATGCAGGGCTCCATCCCAGGACCCAGAGATCATGACCTGAGCCAAAGGCAGCCGCTTAACTGACTGAGCCACCCAGGCGCCCCAATTATGTTAATGTTTCCTAAGAAAAATATATGCCAAAGAATAGCCAAAAATTTGAAAAATGTAAATTTTTTGCTCAACAAAAAATGAAAAATTAAGCCCTGGAACATTTACAGAACAGGATACTATGCACCACTAAGAATAACAGCTATGGGGGGAAAAATGTTAAAATAGCAAATTTGGCATGATCCAAACTAAGTTTTTAATAATTTTAGTGAGGTATAACTGCATAGCTAAATTCTTAGAAAAAGAAAGGAAACAAATATTGTGGTGGGACAGTAGGTAATTTTAGCATATTTTTTCATCTTTATTATTTTTTGAAGTATATTTATACGCCTTTTTAATAAAAAAATTATAAAATTAGGAAATTCACCTTAGGTGTATAAGACATTATAAATACTAAATAAAATATATGAACTATTCACATTTATTTGAGGGTATAAGTTATTTTGTATTATTTTCCTCAAATCATAACATGTACCATGTATTAGGCCAAGATGAAAGGCAGAATGGGTATAATTTAAAAGGAAATATTTATTTATTTATTAGATTTTATTTATTTATTTGAGACAGAGAGAATGAGAAAGAGAGAGCACATGAGAGGGGGGAGGGTCAGAGGGAGAAGCAGACTCCCTGACGAGCAGGGAGCCCGATGTGGGACTCGATCCAGGGACTCCAGGATCATGACCTGAGCCGAAGGCAGTCACTTAACCAACTGAGCCACCCAGGCGCCCAGGAAATAATTTTTTAAAGACTATACAGTATGGACTAGGACAAGAGATGAACTAATAGTTGTATCCTGTTACACAAAAGATTGATAAGATACTTCAAATTACTTTTTAGCTAACTACTTAAACATTCAGATCTGCATCTATCAGGAGCTAATTTCTACCTTGTAAGTCATAACTCAAGAAAACACAAGTGTGATCTATCAAAGATTTGCAAATAGTCACTGAAATTTTGAGAAATTCAGATTATTAGGTTAGAAATCAAAGTCAAATTTACCATTTTGAATCACTAGTGTTTTGTAAACAGGAAGACATCTATGCAGTGAGAGACTTACCTGGTCTATCTGTTCATCTGAAAAGTATGAGGATTTGCCCTACTTGAGTCACAACTGCCTATTCCTTTTCTGATCTGTTTTTAAAGGTTACCATAGTTGGGTGAAGCTGAGGAACTAAGGAGTAACATAATCTCATCTCTAGTCACTATCTTATGCTTTTTTCCCCACATCTTCATCTAAACATATCACCAGTAGTAGCTTATCTCTGATCATGGTTCTAAGTACCTCTCATTTTACTCATGCTATACCTTGAGACTAGAAGTATCTTGATCAACAATTACACTAACTCCTGGTTTGCATAAATGACTTATAATGCCCATTCCTGGCACTTTATTATCACATAAAAAAAAAAAAGGTTACTTTTCAGCCACCATAAGTAAGCTCTGACATAAACCTGTACCTTAAGAAGCAGAGGGAGCAATGACCTTGGATGTATGAAATAATCAAACTTGAGTATGGATCCATATTTACCTGCATCTTCAGGGGTTCTTATTTCAAATTCTAGTAAATTTTCTTGTTTTTCTTCTATATCTTGTAAAATGGCACTGATGGTCTGATGCTATCAGATAAAAACATTAAAAACTTCATTACAAGAAGGTAGATATTTCTCTCTGATATACAATTGTCAAATGCACAGTAAAAGTGCTAAAGAAAGTGCTGCTAAAATGCTCATTTCACTTTATGTTCGAAATGTATTCATGCTTTGTTTAAACTTAACTGTATAAATGTTGCGTATTTGTGGAGAACAAGTAAACCTAAGTATTTTGATTTATGTAGCAGATCTACTCCTGGTAAACAGAATATATGAGTAGCAGCCATATAAAGGTTCATAATTTCTCACTCACTTCTGTTATAATTATAGCTGTAGGTGATAAAAGAACAACTCAGCACATAATATTTAAAGGTCACATATATGCAATAAGTACACTTTAAGGCTTTATGACTATCACTGCACACTATTAAAATCTCCCACATAATCTTAAAAATACAAAACACTACTCTCTCAAACATTCACAAATGGGAATTAAGGCCACCTTTCCATGCCCTTGTTAGTCCTGACTGTCCTGCCTAGAATGTCTTCAATTTACTTTGCCCAGATTCATCTCTTTCTTATGAGAGAAGTAATCATGGAGTGGATTCTGGAACTAGACTGCCTGGGTGTGAATTCTGACTTCACCTCTTCCTAGCTGGGTGGCTCCAGCATGTTACTTGTCCTCTCCTTGCCTGAATAGAGTAACACATGTAAAATGCTTCGGGCAGTGCCAGCAAAACACAAGAGTTCAAATAAGTACCGCTTATTATTATATAAAACCCGTATCATACATGAAATCTCTGGCTAATCTAATTCATATGAATTTCTCCTTTTTCAGAATTAGTTAAGAATTCTGGTGGTATATAATTTAGCATTAATATATATAGTGTCTTACACATTATATTTCTCTATCAAGCAAGTAACATCTTATAGGCAGGAGCATAGCTTTTATATTTGTGAATGGTTCCCACACTGTTGGATATATAGCTGGCGCTCAATAAACAAAGACTGATGGACTGACTCATATCACCTATCCTTTAATATATTCTCAATATACATTCATTTAAACAATGTGATAGTCCTCAAAGCTTTCTAAAGTACATTGCCCTGAAATTTTACTTTGGTGCCTACAGGGACATGAAAAATGCACATAATAAAACCATCCAATTATGTGGAAAAGCAATCTCACTGCTGTCATTTATGAAAGGCATCAGAGCAGAACTATAAAATGTAAATATGCAAAACAAACAAACAAAATGAGATTTATCTCTTTTTACAATGAATGTCTATAAAAGCAAACTAAAGGTCTGAATCTGAGCCCTGGCTAAGCCTCTACCTACAGGTCAGGATAAAGAAAACATTTTTTTGGTGCTGATTTTCCGTCTTGCTTTGCTCATATTGTGGATGCATTCAGTCTTGGCTACCATGGGCAATAACCTTCAACTCCACACCAGCTTTACCTTCCATCATGAAGAGGCCAGTATAACCTTCCCTCCAAGATCCCCCTTCTTAGTCCTTCATTACTGCATTTTTATCTTAAAAAGAAATACCAAAAAACCCAACCTATGATCTGTCTTTGGAACAAGCAGCTTTAGACAGTTTATACTGTGGTTATGGAAAGCTTCACTATAATTTTATTCCAAATTTCCTATTTTTCATGGCAGGATCATCTTTGACTCTGACACCTCTCTTACAATTTTGTACAGTATAGCACTGTGGTCAGAAGCATTGGCTCTGGGGCGCCTGGGTGGCTCAGTCATTAATCGTCTGCCTTCAGCTCAGGTCAGGATCCCAGAGTCCTGGGATGGAGCCCCGCATCGGGTTCCCTGCCCAGCAGGAGAGTCTGCTTCTCTTTCTCCCTCTGCCCTTGCTCCTGTACTCTCTCTCTTGCTCACTCTGTCTCTCAAATAAATAAAATCTTAAAAAAAAAAAAAAAAGAAGCACAGGCTCTGCAGCTAGACTGCCTGGCACTGCTTTAATTCTGGTATTGCTACTTAACAGAAATAAAATTCTGGATTAAGTTATTTAATGTCTTTTACTTTAGCTTCCTCAACTGTAATAAGGAAGAATAATGAGAATAACAGAACACACCCAGAAGGGTTATTATGAGGATTAAAATGAGTTAGTATAAGGACTTAGAGAGCTTATCATATAATAAGTATTCAGTGAATACCAACTATTAGTATTATTACTCCATCTACACGGGTATAGAGAAGGAAGCTGCCTACATGCTGTGATCTAAAGGTGTTATAAGGTGGCAGCAAACTAAAATCATCTCATTTCCTTTGTATCTGGCCATAGAGTCACTCCTCTCCCCAATTTGATTTGAAGTTTCCAACATTCAAAAATAAATTTACATTTACAAAAGACTAACCTCTAATGACTTTAAAGTCCTTATATTTCTTGAGTTTTTCTCCTTTTCTAAAGTTGGTTTTTTCTTTTTTTTTAATTGAAGTACAGTTGACACATAATATTACATTAGTTTCAGGTGTACAACAGTAATTTGACAAGTTTATATGTTATGTTATGCTCACCACAAGTGTAGCTCCCATCTGTCACCATACAACACTATTACAGTATCATTGACTATATTACCTATGTTGTACCTTTTATCCCTGTGACTTATTTATTTCATAACTGGAAACCTACCTCCCACTCCCTTCCCCCATTTTACCCATTCCTCCACCCAAAGTTGGTTTTCTTTAGACTCTTGTATCTCCATTACATTTTTCCTGAAGCTTGGCATGTGAAATAATATACATTACTCCTGAAGCAAACACCTATACAGTTAATAACAGGCAGTTTTTCCAAGATGTTCTAATTTTTTTTTT